TGGTATGGTGCTGTGGGTTAATGTGCCAGACTGCAAAGCCGTTTGAACTTCAAGGTCAGTGGTTCAAGCTCACCAGCTGCTCCTCGGAAACCTTCTACAGGGTTGCTATGGGTCGGAATCTACTTGATGGCACTTCACAACAACAACAACAATGGGCAAAATATTAAATGGTACAGAAAGCAGCAAAGGAAGTTGGAAGGAATACACAGTGCCACTGTGACAAAAAGAAATGGTTGATGTTCAGCCGTTTCAAGAGATAGCATATGATTAAGAGCCAGTAGCACTGAAGTCCAAGCTGCTCTAAAAGCATTGGTAAAGAACAAGGCTCCAGGAATTGGTGGAATACAAATTGAATTCTTCAAACAAACTGATGCAGCACTGGAGGTATTCATTCATCTATGCCAAAATATTTGGAAGACAGCTGCCTGGCCAACTGATTGGGAGAGATCCATATTTGTGCCCATTTAAAGAGAGGTGGAGTGTGGAACTCTTCAATATAATTAATATCACATGCAAGTAAAATTTTGCTGAAGGTAATTAAAAAACAATACATCTATAGGTTATTGCCCAGAGGTCCTAGCCAGAGGAATGAGGGATGTCATTGCTTATTTTAGATGAATCATGGCTGAAAGTAGAGAATACCCGAAAGATGTTTACCTGTGCTTCATCGACTATGCAGAGACTTTCCACTGTGGTTCATGACAAGCTATGGATAACACTGGGGAAAATGGGTGTTCCAGGGCACTTAATTGTGCTTTTAATTAACCTGTACATAGACCAAGAGGCAGTTCACGTTGTTCAAGGGGACACTGAATGGTTTAAAATCAAGAAATGTGTGTACCAGAGTTGCATTCTTTCACCATACTTATTCAATCTGTATGCTGAACAATTAATCTAAGACATTGGATTATATGAAGAGAATATTGGCATCAGGATTGAAGGGAAGACTCATTGACAACATGCAATATGCAAATAATACAACTTTTGTTGAAAGTGAAGAGGTCTTAAGATACTTACTGATGCTGATAGAAGACCACAACCTTCAGTATGGATTGCACCTTAATGTAAAGAAAACAGAAATCCTCACAGCTGAACCAGTAAGTAACATCATGATATATGTAGAAAAGATTGAAGTTGTCGAAGACTTCTTTTCTTGGATACACTATTAATCCTCATGGAAGCAGCAGTCAAGAAGTTAAAGGATCTGTTGCATTAGTTAAATCTGTTGCACAAAACCTCTTGAAGTATTCAAGAGCAAAAATGTTAGTTTTGATCATCCTGACCAAAGCCATAGTATTTTCATTAGCCTCATATGCATGTGAACGTTGGGCAATGAATAACGAAGACCATAGAAGAATTGATTCATTTGAGTTTATGGTGTTGGAGAATAGTAGAAGTAACATGGACTTCCAGAAGAACAAACCAATCTTAATTTGAAAGAAGTACAGCCAGAATGCTCCTTAGAAGCCAGGGTATGGGAGGAAGGGTAGGAATATACCTACAAATATATAAAGGTTTGAAAGAGGATATTTGGAGCCCCTAGGCTCCAAACCCACCTATGAATATGGTGGTGCATGCAGATGGCAAATGATGAAAACTTCTTAGATATTATCAAATATCTTAAGGAAATGAATTGCTGGGCTTTGGGACTCAGGATCTTAGTCTCAGGGGACACCGTGGTCAATTGGCATAATATAATACAAAAAGACAATGTTCTACATCCTACTTTGATGAGTAGAGGCAGGGATCTAAAAAGCTCATGAATGGCCATAAAAAGTTTATTGGTCTTTTCATATGCAAAAGAAAGAAGAATGATGAAAATTTGAGCATGCTAGTTATCAGTATCCCAATGTCCTGTGGAATATTAACATTAATCACCATGACTGTGATTCCAGAAGAATTAGATGGCGCTACTTACCAATTGCTCTGAAAAGGGACCATGTTAGAAGGTATTTGATAGAGTGAGAGATAATGTGTAACAAAACTCAAAATTTTTCACAACAAAAAAAGACCAAGCTTACTGCTTAGAAAGGGACAAGAGGAATCTGAGACTGTAGCTCTCAACCACTCTTCAGGTCTGGAACAGAAGTTACCCTCCTAGCCCAGTTTTCATCCACGCAGTAGATAGATATATAAGGGAGACAACAGCACTAGTAAGGTATGTTCACCATGGAATGGTTATTCATACAAGATCAAAAGGGTAACATTTACACAAGGACAAAGTTGATAAAGGAAATGGGAAGGATGGGGGGGAATGGAAATAGGAACCACAGGGAGGAAATGGGATAACTTGTTGCATGGAAGAGATTGCAGGCATTGAGATGAAACAAAGTTTATAATTTTTTGAATTTAAAATTGATGATTTTCTCTGTAAACCTTCACTCAAGTCACAATAAATTTAAAACAACAAAAATCCTGTGATTTAAGAAGCAAGGCGAGAAAGTATATACTATTAATGCTAGCAATGATTGTATTAAGTGGGATTTAAAGTGATTCTTTTCTTTTATGAAATATCCATTTTGCTCATTTAATTAAAAGTTTTGCATTGAAGTTGAATTTGGAGGATATAAATTAAAAATATAATTTTTATCTTAATTGAATTGACCTTTTTGAATGCCTGTTGAGGATAGATTTTCTTTATTTAGTGATGATCTAGATTTTAATTATAAAGATAATTGTACTTGTGGCATAGTATTAAGCTTAATATAAAGTCTGAATTTATAGCTAAAATAAAACAGAAATTTGAAACAAAATTTTGGATCTTATTTTTTCTTTTCTTTTTTTTATAAAAGGAAGGATTACGGCCAGGAGATACAACTAGCACTTTCTGTGGCACTCCTAATTACATTGCTCCTGAAATTTTAAGAGGAGAAGATTATGGTAATAAATAGGTGTATTTTAACTATGTTCTGAATGGGTTATTGTATGTGGTACCAATTGAATTATAATACACTATAGTCTTTTAATATTGATCTTCTTAGTATAAACTTTGTTGGGCACCGTAAAACAAAATGAAGACCCATGAACTCAAACTAGAGACCATGGGCTCTTTGCACAATTTAGGGGTTCAAACTTGAAAATATTTTCTTATTGGCCAGACATTATTCTAAGCCATTTGCATATAATAATGACCCGGGGAATTAAGCACAGCTAATATCTATCTTATAGATGAGGAAACTGAGATACAGAAATTTAACTTGCCCAAGGTCAAATAGCTAGAAAGTGGCAGAGCAGAGAGTCATACCTCAGCAATGTGACTAGAGAGTGATGAACCTTTGGAAGATTGTTCAGATTGATATTTTTTTGTGTGTGTGGAGTCACATCACTAGAGAAAAGCATCTGCTTGCATGAGAGGCACAGAAGGCTGCAGGCACCTCCATTATTCAGATTTACTGGATGTTTACCCCGAAATCTGAAGGGTAGTAGAAAGAACCAGAATATACATTTGCCTTAAGAAAACATTTGACTTCTTGGATTCTAGCCCTTGGATTTTAGACGAAGTGAAAGATGTGGTACTTCTGACAGCTGTTCATAATCTGATTCTAGGGTCCAACAGAGGTTATTCTCAAATATAATTTAATTATGTCCTCAAAACAAAATATTAGCTATGGGCATGAGTCTGAATTAAAGACATATTTGGAAAAATAAATTTACTTCATTGCCCATGATTTTATATTTTAAAGTTATATTTTAGGTGTTCATCCTTGTTATTGGATTATTGGTGGCGCTGTAGTGTAACCACTGGACTGATTACTACAAGGTTGTCAGTTCAAACCCACCAGCTACTCCAGAGGGGAACAATGAGGCGTTTGCATCTGTAAAGGTTTACTGCTTTGAAAACCCTTTGCAGAGTTAGTTACTAGGAGTCGAAACTGACTCAACGGCACCTAACAACAGCAACCATTGTTGATAAGTGAAGTGCTCCTTTACTTTTGTGTCCCTCCCATAATCATTAAAATATTTTTGGAATTTACTTGTTCATTAAGTTTATGTTTTCATTATGTGATAGATTGAATCTCAAGTTACTGACTTTCAAGAATGCAGAGTGGATAATTTTGTTACTTTAAAATTTCTTTTCTGAAGGTTTCAGTGTCGACTGGTGGGCTCTTGGAGTGCTAATGTTTGAGATGATGGCAGGAAGGTCTCCATTTGATATTGTTGGGAGCTCTGATAACCCTGATCAAAACACAGAGGATTATCTCTTCCAAGGTAATTGACAGTATTTTATATGGGTTCTCTGTGAAGAATCTATTCTAAAGCAAAGTAGTACTTTGAGTAGGTAAAAGGAAAATAATCTGGGTGATACATAATCTGGATGCTTTTGAGTCTTTTTTTGGTACATCCTTTCTACTTCTATAGTCTTCAATCCCATTTTCCAGTTTACCTTCTTGTACTCACAGAATTACAAAAAGTACAATTTCTTCAGATTTTGTGTCATGAAGAGATTGGTGGTGTGCATCCTGTGACTAGAGAGAACAATTTTGCACATGTAAGCCCCTAGGCTGGCTGAGTAGATGGGGGGAATGTAGAGACTCAAGAAGATAAAAGGGATCAAGTGGAAAAAAGAAAAAAAGACTCCACAGTTGGAAATGCAAGTGATCAAGCAGAATAGAAACAAGACAATAAGCACAGGTACTCCCCAACACACAGTTCAAAGAACTGCTAAGACTCTGTCATAAAAGCCTATATTTAATAATTGGTACAGCATGCAAAAAACAGGCCATCATCTAGTTCTCTACTCCTCATTTGGGTTTGATAATTTGCTCCAGTGGCTATATAACTCTCAGATGATACAGTTATGGGGTTTAATAGGGAGAGTTAACAGGAAGTAATACAAGATCAGGACATGCTTAGGGCACAGGTGTTCCAATCAACTGCTGATAAATACACACAGGCCACACCACTCTATCCTAAGTCTCAATATGAAGGGACTCAACTGCATAGGTTAGAAAACCTGGCTAGGCACCCACTCTGCAAGCAAGTGTCCTGCATAAATTCACTCAGCTTTATTTGCTCCGTGGACTGGGAAGTCCACTGCTCTGTCTCCTGCTCTGGCTCTTGGTTCTGATTCTGCTGCTTCTCTGATGTCACAGCTTTCCAAAGGACATGCTCCTGGTTCTTTCTCTTTGATGGTAGTGAGAGTCCCCCTCTAACTTTTGAGATGGTTCATTTTATATCCGTGCTAGAGTTTCAGGTTTTCACAGTTATCATGGATGCTGCTAAACATTCACAGTTGAGTAATGTCATCGTATCAGTATGTTTTCCTACCTTCTCTTACCCAGACCCCGCAGAACTGAAACGTCTTTAGACTATGGCTGATCAAAACATAAGATAACATTAGATAAGAAGAGACATTAGATAATTCACTACACCATGCAGCCATTAAAGGATATAAATAACATTGAATTTATTAGCTAACCCAGATGTCCAGGGAATCAGGAGAAAGATGGTCAGCCTCCTAGTAATTAATTAATCAGTGGTCATGTGCCATTGAGTTGATTTTGACTCCTGGTGACTCCATGCTCTAAAGAGGTTTTCAGTGGCTGGTTTTTCAGAAAGATATCATCAGGCTTTCTTTCTGCAGTTGTAACAAAAGGTATACAAATTAATGAGCTTTCTATTTCGTACCCATACAATTGGCAGAAATTAAAAAATATGATAATACCAAGTGTTGGTGAGAATGTGGTGCAACTGAAAATGTCATAGACTGCTGGTGGGAGTGAGATTTGGCACAGCACTTTTTGTAGAATTTGGCATTTTCCAGTAAAACTGGATATAATGTTGTTGTTAAGTGCCATCGAGTTGGTTCAACCCAGTATAGTGTTTCTGAGGCCTTAAATATTTGGGAGAAAGCCTAATTTTTCTCCCAAAGAGCAGTTGGTGGGCTTAAACTGTGGACCTTGTGGTTCACAGTTCAGTGCTTATCTTATGGAGCCACCACGCTTCTGGATATAATATTATGTGCAGTAATTAATGCCGAGGATTGTTCCAGCATTTTACTTATGTAAACTTGATAACAGCTCAATCTTTATAGATGAGGAAATGGAGACAAAGTTAGGTAGTCAAAGAATAAAACATGCGTTAAAATGATAAAACAACTTAGGATTTGAGATTGTCTCTAAAAAGGAAGAAGAAGAAGGGGATTGGAAAGGCACATGAGGCACTTTCATTGTATTTGTAATGTCTTTGCTGAATGCCTTAAGTATTTAATAGTACAAAATCAAAGCCATGTTAATGGTAAATAAAATACCATAATTTTATCTTTCTAGTGATTTTAGAAAAACAAATTCGCATACCACGTTCTCTCTCTGTAAAAGCTGCAAGTGTCCTGAAGAGTTTTCTCAACAAGGTAAAAATCATATAAACCCATTCTGTTACCTGTCTATATGAAAGGAACTGGTTAGGCAAAACAATATTCTAAAGCAGCAGAATATTTTTCAATTAGGTCTGGAATTTGGCTCCTAACCAGAGTCATCAACAGCATTAGATGCTGGGATGTCTCTTTGCTGCTTTGCCTGTCTAGTTTCTACCCAGCTATATATTATACTGTGTTGTTAATGTAAGTGATTCCTAAGATATACTAAGTTAGGGAAAAATAGGCTTTGCAGGTAAACTCATTATATATTTAGCTCGTATTTTGCACCGTTGTTTGGATCATTATCTATAGGCTGTGATCACTATCATATATTTACTAGGACAGTGATGTGTGCCCTACGAGTTCCCACATCACGCTTGATAATCAGGTAAAGTTCAGAAGAAAGGAAGTGCTCTCTTCAGCTCTTACAAAGTCTACATGCTATTCAGTTATTTGTTGCAGTTGGAAGATTAGAATAGTTTTAGGATCTAGCTAGGATTTTGATTTAGATGATCATTATTCTTAAATACCCTGCAGAATAGAAGGAAAATTGATGCATATTTAGGATAATGATACATTTGATAAAATAAACAATTGAAGCATGTTGTAAATGAATAATTTTTATGAGGAAAAGTTTAAACCTGAGACCTAATTTTTAACACATTGAAAGTGAAGATTAGAGGCGTTAATATATAAAATAAAATGCCCTTTATCAAAAAGAAAAATGGAACATGTTCTCATTTAGTGATGAATGAGCCATGACATTTTCAAACTTGGCATTTTAATGATGTAGAGATAAGTTGTATTATTGTCTTATACATATCATGGTTTGTTGCTCTAATTGAACATGTTGTTGTTGTTGTTGTTGTTAAGTGCCATTGAGTTGGTTCTGACTCCTGATGACCCTGTGCAGGGTTTTCGAGAATCTGCTGGTGTTTGTCAGACCAGCACTTATCCTACAGTGCCACACCAGAACTCCATAATTGGGCATAGGGCTTTAAGAATTGAGCTGAGAGAACAAAATTGTGTTGAAGTTTAGGGGTTTGCATAGTTTGACTATCTCTAGTCCCATGCCAGAGAAATAGTTGAATGCTGCTCAGATGATTCTCCTAGTCTTTTTCCTCCCATTAGTCACTAACTCCACTTTGATTACATGATATGTGGAAGAGAGAACCATGAAAAAAATCTTAACTTGTCAGAATATTCAGATAAATCAACTAGTCTTAAACTTTCTAGAAATAAAAGATGTAGACTCTTCTGATTTCAAGATAAAGGTATCACATAGTAGGTTTGAAATGCAGGCCACAAAGGTTTTCTTTTCTAAAGGCATAATATTCCCCTAGTTCTTGAAACATTTCTTTTCACCATAGGATCCCAAAGAACGATTGGGTTGTCATCCTCAAACAGGATTTGCTGATATTCAGGGACATCCATTCTTCCGAAATGTTGATTGGGATATGGTATGTAAATTTTGATAGCTTGGATTATTAGTTTACTTTATTATCTTGGCCCAATATTATCGTAAATGAAACTAATATAGTTTAAATAACTTAAAACCAGCTTTTGAAGTGCTTTTTAAAAAAAAAATTATTCAAACAAACAAAAACTTAGAAAATTAATATGATGATGGTGTTGTTAAGTGCTGTTGAGTTGGTTCTGACTCACAGTGCCCCTGTCTAGGATTTCTAAGGAGTGGCTGTTGGGGTTGAACTGCCGACCTTGCAGTTAGCAGGCCAATGCTTATCCTACAGTGCTACTCCAGTACTCCAATGTAATGGAGTAGATTGTAATAGAGAAGCTTGTCCCAGTGTTGAGATTTGTAAATTGTTTATATTGCAAAACCATGCCTGCAGTCTCAATTTTGACTTGATAAGAGTGGGAAACATCTCAGAGGAGAAGAGAAATGTAACAGCAAAATTTTTTAAGAATGAAAGCTTGAGCTGTCATCCAATATGTCTTTTTAGATGGAACAAAAGCAGGTGGTACCTCCCTTTAAACCAAATATTTCTGGGGAATTTGGTTTGGACAACTTCGATTCTCAGTTTACCAATGAACCTGTCCAGCTCACTCCAGATGATGAGTAAGTAATTTTACACACGAAGAATTTTTGAAAGCCCCATTTTTAGTGGCTGTGCATATTGTTTTGTTATCAGATTATAATGTAATTTAGCTAACCATTATGTTACTGGATATTCGAACCTATTGATCTATTGTAAATTATAAAAATCACTGCCATTTCCTACTGTGCTCCACATGTATTATCTCTAATTCTCACAACAACCTTACCAAGGTAATAATTGTCATCGTCATGTTAAAGAGGAGACTGAGGGCCCAGCATGGTTAAATAAAGTTTCACACCTATCAGGTGACTAAATCAGGATTTATTCCAAGTGTAACTAAGGCCTGTGCCCTTCCCCTGTGCTGCATGTTTTCCCCTTTTGACAATGATCACCTTTGTCTGAACTCCTCTAAGTATTTCCTTAAGATAGATTCCTAGAAAAGGAATTGGTTCAAAGGGTATGCAATTTAAAGCTCTCAATAGGTATTGACAGATTCCTTTTTCAACAGATTATATCAATTTATTAAGTCTAACAATCAGTGATCTCAAGTGTTGTGGGGTTTTTTTTGTTGTTGTTTTTTTTTGTATTTATGTTGTAGCTTTTTAAAATATAGGTTAGAATAATAGGGAGTTGTTTTGGTCATTTGCTTATCATTGCAGGTGCATGCACTCTAATTTTAAGGGGACTCCCTAAGTCATTCATTTTACTTACGTCTTATTCATTCTCACCACATCAGTTATTCCAAACTGTCTTAATGTCACAGAAACCACCAGATCTCCCACTGCCTCCATTATACTTCATGGATTCACCTTGCCTTGACTGCAGAGATTAAGGCCTTCCTGGTCTAACTCTCACCAGACCACCTTTCACTTGAGAATTGTTACTTTATTCTTTTCAACCTTTGTTGTCTTCCCTCCTATTTAATGTAAGGGTATCCCTCCTCTTTTCCTCGATTATCTTTTTGTTTCCTGTAGGATTTCATTGTGTGAGTTACCTTCTTTAATCTTTTTTTTTCAGTTTAATCACCTTCTGCCTACAAACAGACTCCAATATTTTATCTTGATTTTTTCCCCCTCAATTTTAGCATCTTGTCTTTGACCACCAATTATTTGCTTTCATTTCAAGCTTTTTTTTTTAAAGAAAAAAAGAGTTAATAGAATGTCAATGGTAAAAGAAAAATAAATAAGCAATATCTCTGTTTTTGGGGGGATTGTTGTTAGTGCCGTCGAGTCAGTTCCAACCCATAGTGACCCTGTATAGGGTTTCCGAGGAGCAGCTGGTGAACTTGAACCGCTAACCTTGCAGTTCAAACCAATTTTGCAGTCCAGTGCATTAACTCACAGCGCCACACCAGTAACTGTGTATTCCTTCATCTTTTGATACTTCCTGCATCATTCAATATTTTGTCCTTAGGACACCAAGGTCTGTTGGCATAACGTAGTCCACAAAGACAATGTTCAGAGCCCTACTTTGGTGAGTAGTGCCTGGGGTCTAAAAGCTCATGCGTGGCCATTTAAGGTAAACTATTGCTCTCTCTCTCTCTGTCTATCCAGGGGGAAACAAGAGTGTAGAAAATCAAAGACACATAGAAATAATTAGTCCAGTGGCCTATGGAATTCTTGTACATTAGTCTCCACAGCCCTGAGACTGGGGCTAGATGGTACCTGGGTACCACTACCAACTGTTCTGAAAGAGATCGCATTAAATGGTCCTAAATAGAATGGGAGAAAAATGTGGAACAAAACTCAAATCATTAAAAAAAAAAAAAACGGGCTTACTGGTCATTTAGATGGCAGTGGAACCTCTAAGACATGGCCCTTAGTCACCGTTCAGGTCTGGAAATGAATTCACCCCCGTGGCTCAATTTTCAGCCAAACGATACACAGTCATTTAAGGGAAATGATAACACTAGGGAGGTACAAATACCTTAAAATAATCAACCATTTGAGGTCAATAGGGCAACATTTACCCAAGGAAAAGTTCAGCAGGGTTAGGAAAGAAGGAAGAATGGAAACAGAAAACACGAAAGGTATGTGATAAGTGCTATTTGTGGGGATTGCAATTAATGAGTTGAAATAAGATGTGTATGAATTATCAAATGGAAAATTGATCTGCTCTGTAAGCCTTCACCTAATGCACAATGTTGTTGTTAAGTGCTGTCAAATTGGTTCCAACCCATAGCAACCTGTGTAGGGTTTCCAACAAGCCGCTGGTGAGCTTGAACCACTGACCTTGTAGTTTAAACCAATTTTACAATCCAGCACATTAACCCACAGCACACACCAGGACTCCTAATGCATAATAGGAAGTCTTAAAAACATAAAAGGAAAACTGAATTAAAAGATTTTTTTTGTCCATAGAATCCCTCAGTACTGCAATTTGAGGCTTGAATGTTTATTTATTTTTTTCTTCAGTTCTTTAAGCTTGAGAAATGCAGAGCATATTCTTTTAGCTTGTTCCAGGTCTTCACACATTTTATATGTACTTCTAGTTTACTTTATTTTTTTCAAGTACCTCTGAAGTCTTTTATGTCCTGGTTGATGATCAACCTTCTGGCTGACATTCAACCATTTTAGGAGGTAGCATATGATCAAGGACCATGGTGATGAAGGAATAAGCCCAGCTGCACTGAAGAAGGCACTGGTGAAAACACCAGGCTCCAGGAATTGGCAGAATACCAATTGAGATGTTTCAGCAAATGCAGTGCTGGAAGTGCTCTTTTTCTGTTCCAAGAAATGTGAAAGACAGCTACCTGGCCAACTTTATACAAGAGATCCATATTGTATTTGTGTCCATTCAGAATGCAGACATTATTGAAAAATGTCATTAATATCACACACAAGTAAAATGTTGCTGAGGATAATTTTTAAAATAGTTGCAGTAGCCCATTAGCAGGAAACTGCCAGAAATTCAATTGATTCATTTGAAGTATGGTGTTAGCAAAGATTATTGAATATACCTTGGACTTCCAAAAGAATAAATAAGTCTGTGTTGAAAGAAGCCCAGCTGGAATACTCCTTAGAAGGGAGGAGGATGAAAGTTTGTCTCATGTACTTTGGACATGTTATCAGGTAGTACCATTCCCTGGAGAAGGACATCATAGTTGATTAAAAAAAAAGAGGGTCCTCTGATGTACATAAGATTGCTATGAGTGGAAAGCAACTCGATGGTACCTAACAACATCAACGTCTTAATTTCTAGATTTAAAAGAATTTTTTGTCCTCATCTTTCCTCATGTCAATAAAGCATTGAGTACTCAGGGCCTTGCTGTCCTTGGTTCTGCTTCATCTTTGTGATCACTACTATCTTCTTTTATTCTTCATCCCTTTAAGAGTAGGATACTCCTTGGTTTTGTGTACAAGAGCCTTCTCTTTGCTACGTGCATTCTGTATCGTGGAGATTTCAGCCAAACCTGTAGCACAGATACCAACTATTCAAATGACTCCCCGCTGAATCAGCAAATAGCTATTGAGCAAAAGGCACTATACTAGTTACTGGACAATCAAATCTCACAAAAAAAGTTTACTGTCTAGTAGAAAAGAGAGATATGTACCAAATCTTATTTCTGACAGCCTGGTGTACTACAAACCAAGCCACACTCATTGTTGAGTTGATTCTGACTCATAGCAACCCTGTAAGACAGAGTAGAACTGCCTCATAGGGTTCCCAAGGTTGTAATGTTTACAGATGCAGTCTGCCACATCTTTTCTTCCATGAAGCAGCTGGTGCGTTTAAAACTCGAACCTTTTGATTAGCAGCTGAGTGCTTAATACTACACTCCTTGTAGTAGAAAGAACGCTGGATTTAATAAAATATAGGACTTTGAGTCCTAACTACCTCTTCTCAGCTAGATAACCTCTGGTGTGTATTGCATAACTTCTGGCCCTGTTTTTTTTTATTCCCTACCTCGCAAGGTAGCTGTGAAGAATAAATGAGAGATGGTTTCTAAAGTGCATAGCCCCAGCCCTGACCCCCTCCTAAGTTGCATTTCCATCTGCTTATGTAACATCCCCCCATATATCACACAAGCCCTTCAAACATAATAAATGTAAAATCAAAGACATGATCCTCTTTGATCTTTACTTCTATTGCTTTACGTCATTTCCTTGACTTTATTTACCTGTTTTGTCCATTCTATTTACCATGTGTCCATGCCATCTAGGGTCAGCATTTAAGTCATTGTTGACACCTGTTTTTCCTCAGTTGTCAAACCCTTGCCTAGTTTTTTTTTTTTTTTTACCGTAACAATCATATCAGATATTTCTTTTCCATCCTCATTGCCATGACTGCACTTCAAGTCACTGTCACATTATACCTAGAATAGTGCACCAGCCTCCTAATTGATCTCCTTCACTCCTCTCTACTTTGCAGCCTGTTTTGCACACCTTGTAAAGGAATACTTGAATTCTTTAGCTCCTTTAGTCAGAAGCCTTTAGTAACTCCTACATTGCCAATCAGATAAAATCTGTCATCTGCTGGCATTTAGATTCTAGCCAGATCCTCACTGTTCTCTGTCTGACATAAATAAGCACTGTGTTTTCATCAGGCTCAGTTGCTCACCATTACCTGGTAGTTTGCTGTTACTTAATGCTTTTGCTGTTTCCCATCAGTTTTACTTATTGAAATCTTCCTCATCTTTCTGATCTCCCTGAAATGCAGTCTGATAGACCAAGTTCAGACTCCTTAGTGTTAACATCACTGGCTTCTTTCATCTATCCATTGCCTTCCTTTCCAGTATCATTTGCAATGAACAATGTTCTAATCCTGTGCCCCATCTCTAATAAATTACAGTACTTGCATGTCTCATTTACCTAATCCTGCTGTAATAGAAATACCTCGAGCAATTGGCTTTAACAAACAAATTTATTGTACATCGTGTCAACTCTTTGAAAAGGCTTTCTTTCTCTGTCAACTCTGGGAGAAGTACCTTGTCTCCCTTTAACATCTACGGGCCCATCATTCCTTGGAAATTGCCTCATATCTTCCGCATCAACCTGTCTCTGAGTCTAGGTAGTTTTCA